TGTATCATAAGAAAACTTTTGTTGTGAAGGTACATCTCCCCTTGAGAAAACAAATAGAGCATAGCTGCTATAAATCATGCAAACCCATAGAAAATTTTAAAAGACATGTACGACCGGGTGCGGTGACTGTAATCTCAGCATCTTGGGAGGCCAAGTCAGGTGGATTATTTGAGCCCACGAATTCAAGACCAGCCTGGGTAACATGGTGAAACCTTATATCTACAAAAAAAATACAAAAATGAGCTGGGTGTGTGGTGGTGTGTACCTGTAGTCCCAGCTACTTGGGAGGCTAAGGTGGGAGGATCCTTTGGGCCCAGGAGGCTGAGGCCACAGTGAGCATTTAGTACACCATCGACTGCACTCCAGCCTGGGCAACAGAACAAGACCCTGTCTCAAAACAAAAACAAAAACATGTACAGATGCTTCTTGACTTGTGATGGGGTTATATCCCAATAAACCCATTGCAAGTTTAAAATTTTATAAGTCGAAAATGCATTTAGTCCACCTAACCTATCAAACATCATATCTTAGTCTTGCCTACCTTGAGTGTGTTCAGAATACTTACCTTAGCCCACAGTTGGGCAAAATCATCTAACACAAAGCCTATGTTACAATGAAGTGTTGGCTGTCTCATGTAACTTTTTGTACTGTACTGTAAATGAATGGTTGTATGGGTACTCAAAGTATGGTTTCTACCAAACACATATCTCTTTTGCACCATCTTAAAGTCAGAAGATCATTGAGTCAAACCATTGTAAGCCGGGCACCATCTGTATGTGACTTTGGAGTGCTTTCAGAACATTTGGTGGGCATTTAACTATTTGTTGAATTAATGGATTACATTTGCTCAGGCTGGTATTCCCATCCAGAGAATCACCAGTTATGGAGGAAGTAAGTTTACTTTTGTGTGGGGATATTCTCAAAATGAAAAATCAGTTGATGGTCCAAAGTATCTTAAAGTTTGTTTAAGTAAACATTGATCTCTGTGCTTTAGTGCCTGTTGAGGTTTTAGAATAATTATCCATATTTACTTCCTTTCAGACCTCTAGCCTAAATCTCTATTTTATTTCATGTTTCCCTAAAGACTCACTAGTGGGCATATTTTTATGTGCATTTGATGAGTTGACTAGTGGCTTTTAATGATTTTCCCTGATATGAATGGCCAAAAAACAGATGTCAGTCTATTAACCTGTTGCATTTGTGGCTATTAAGAGTGTTTTCTGCGTGTGCTCTCCAGTTTTTGAGCCAGAGGAGCAATTTCAGTTAAATTTTAAAGTGGTGAGATTGGAATGGAATATATGAAGTGACAGAGGTTATAAGACTAGTGAAACTGCTGGAATAGGAGATAGAAGAGAAGCCCAAAAGCAGGAGGCAGAGTTGATTTTGGACATTTTTCTTAAACATTAGATGGGATTTGTTGATGGGAATTACTGTTTGCGGTAAGATCATTTGAAAAGTTTTCTTTACTCCATGTGCATTATTGGCACCCTCTACAGCTTTGTTAGAAAGTTGGATAGGTAATAAGAACCCAGGACTGGCAGTAGAGATGGCACTTGGAGGGATGTGTGTTACTGATTTCCCCATAATGAAGGAGAGAGGCTAGACCAGGTGATTTTATTGTTTGTTGTTTTCCAGTGCTGAAAATTGTATGACTCTCTCATATTTTGGTTAAGGCTGTTTATAAGATAGTGGTCACTTTAATCCTTGCATAGAAAGCAGTTTTTAAAGTTAATCTCTGCCTTTTAAAATTGTACAAAATCTGAAGTATTGCAGCCTTTTATAAGCTGAATATACTTTTAATGTTCCAAAGAATAATATCTTTTGTTTGTTTTGTTGTAGTTTTTTTGCTTTTGGAACAGCGTCTTGCTCTGTTGGCCAGGCTAGAGTGCAGTGGCGTGGTCATGACTGACTGCAGTCTCAAACTCCTGGAATCAAGCGATCCTCCTGCCTCAGCCTCCTGAGTAACTGGGACTACAGGCACATGCCACCACACCCAGCTAATTTTTTTTGGTGTCACTATGTTGACCAGGCTGGTCTCGAGTTCCTGGCTTCAAATGATTCTCCTGTCTCAGCGTCCCAAAGTGCTGGGATTACAGGGCTAAACCACCATGCACGCTCCAAGGAGTAATTTTAAAAACATTTTATAATTATTAACCATTTATAAAAAGATTTTTTTAGTGTTTTGCTTAAAATAATGGATGGCATGAATAAGAAAATTGAAATATTACTAACTTTGTATTAAAGCAGCATTTTTCTTATTTAGTCAGAGAAAAACAGGCAAAGAGAGTAACAGAATTTTGTATTGATTTGTAACTTTAAGAAGAAACATAATTTTGATATATAGTTATATAAGTAGAATTAGAATGCTTCAAATTTGCCAGGTAATTGCTTCAGTACTTACTCTTATCTTTGTTTATAATTCTCTCCTATCAGGTATACTTTTAATTATTGGAGAATGAAAAATTGCTGTTTTTTAGGTAGTCCTTCAATAATTGTTGAATGCCTGGATGATTGTTCATAGTTTAGAGAAGAAAAATGTTTTAATGTGATCATGATTTCTAATCTTTCTTATAATTGGTGGTATTGCCTTTTATACTTCTCCATGAAAAGGTATTATAATTAAGATGTTGTATCTTAGTGTGATTTAGTAGTATTTAGAATTCCTTATAATAGAAAACAGAGAAATTATTTTAGGTTTGAATGCCTACATTACTGAACTTTCTGGAGCCTCTGAAAATTGTAGAGCAAAATTTGAATAACACCCCTAAATACATTCTGATTTACAAAGGATGTCTTATCGAAGTTTATATTATGCTGTTTGGCTTATTTTATTTATATTATATGTATGTATAATATTTATATATTATATGTATATATTATATAATGTATATATGCTACATATAATATGTATATAAATATACATATTATTTATATGTAATCCAGCTTGGGCAACAGAGTGAGATCCTGTCTCAAAACAGATATGTATATCTATATATATCTCTATCTATCTATCTGTATCTATCTGTCTATCTATCTATATCTGTCACACAGGCTGGAGTACATATAATTATACTGTCTTATACTATCTATCTATAATATAGATATATAATATGTATCTCTATAAAATATATATATATATGGTTTGAGACAGGGTCTCATTCTGTCACCCAGGCTGGAGTACATGTAATTACATTGTATATATATGTGTGTGTGTGTGTATATATGTATATATAGTATCTATCTATATTATATACTATATAATATATAGTATATATAGTAAATATATGTTATATATAGCATATATAGAGAGATATCTGTTTTGAGACAGGGTCTCACTCTGTCATCCAGGCTGGAGTGTAGTGGCATGATCACCAGAGCCTCTAACTCCTAGGCTCAAGCGATCCTCCCACCTTAGCCTCCCCAGTAGCTGGGACTACAGGTGCATGCCACCATGCCTGGCTGGCTTATTATATTGCTGTGCATTCTTTTTGTTTTTATTGTTGAAGGATACCCTCTGGTTTCGTAGGGGATAATCCTTAAGAGTAGAAAAATTCACAAATTTGTGTGGTGCTAATTTTTAAAAAGAGGGATTTATTTTAGGTACAAATATTTACCTAGTTTTTATTCTAAAATCCTTAGCTTTTCTGGCCCACTGGATTGCTTTTATGAGTGCTAATGTCTTCTTTAATATCTTTTTGGCTGGGCGTGTGGTGGTTCATGCCTGTAATCCCAGCACTTTGGGAAGCCGAGACGGGTGGATCTCTTGAGACCAGGAGTTCGAGACCAGCCTAACCAACATGGCAAAACCCCATCTCTACTAAAAATACAAAAAAATAGCCAGATGTGGTGGCATGTACCTGTAATCCCAGCTACTCAACAGGCTGAAACATGAGAATTGCTTGAACCCAGGAGGCAAAAGTTGCAGTGAGCCGAGATCATGCCACTGCATTCCAGCCTGGGAGACAGAGTGAGGCTCTGTCTCAAAAACAAACAAAAAACTTTTTAATAATTTGTGACTTCTGGCTGTTTCCAGCCAGAGAGGGTTAGCAATCTCCTATTTTTAACCAGGAGAGAGCATTCTTGAGCATCTATAGGAAACAGGCACTAATTAAGGAAAGGGCTAAACTAGGGTAGATCTTGGAAGCAAAACATAGTTGAATTTAGGGTACTTTGGCAGGAGTGAAACTGTGAATCCCAAATCTTCAAATGTGAGGGTTTCCTATGCATGTGAATTTGTGTGCACTTCTGATTTTAGTACAGCTTAATTAACACTGCGGCCCAGTTACTGTTTAGTTCATTGCATAGTACTGGACTCTAGTTCTGGGTTGGATACTGCCAGTTGCATGAGCCAGCCACATAACTTTTGTCGATTCATCATTGGCACTAGTAAATTAAATGGGCTTAAGTAGGGGGATCAATTAAGTTTGCTCTTTGAGAGCAGACCAGCATATCCCTGTCTGCTTCTTGCAAACTCATCAGTTCTTTGAAGTTATCTAAGCAAAGATTTTAAAAATTATGTTCCACCATAGTGTAGCCTTCTAAAATAAAGATTACATTTTAAATTAGTTACCACTTTAACATTGATGCTCCCAGAAGATGCATTGTGTTTATCCTGGAGTTCGATGTATTCCCTGACTCATAGCCTTGGGGCTTCTTGTGCTTCAATTTGAGAAGCATAGGACCCAGAGGATCAGGTCTCTTGCAGCTCTGATATGCAATAAATGAGCGTTTGTTCTTTAGTTTTGATAAAGTGTACCTTTAAGAAATTATAAATCCGTAACAGGGAGAAATATGACTGATTTGCATGATGTAACATCTTTCTCTGAAAAATAGATTGCAATTCTATTTTATGTGAAAGCTGTTTCATCCGAAACTCCATGTAATTTAATAAATGGATTGCAAAATTAGAAAAACCCTTTGTAGATGTCATCATTGTTGCTTTCAGTCTCTCTTTGCTGCAATTCTGCTTTTTTCTTTCCTGGCTGCTAATTGGATTAAAGACTGTTTTTGCCAGCCATGGCATCTGGAGATGACAGTCCTATCTTTGAAGATGATGAAAGGTAAATGTCTTATATTGCAGTAAACTAGCCTTTGACATTTTCAAGATTGTTATAATTCAAAAGAGTGATTTATCCAAGCTACTCTGTTAAGAATACATTCTGTAAAATTTCAGAATACATGGTTCTGCTTTTATATGATTTAGAGCAGGAGTAGTAAATACCTGGCGTGGGGGTAGCCTCCAGTCACATGGCATCCATTTCGGTAGAGCCTTGTTATGAGGTCTCTTCTTTTCTCTCAGCACAGAGTTCTTGGCAACTACTTCAAAATGATATAAAATCCATTTACCATCTTCAATTTAGAGCATACAAAGGGGATTAGGGTGAACAAAGAGGAAGATGTAGTTAAGAGAACAGGCTTTGGAGCCAAAATCCTAGGTTTAAATCCTGCCTCTGCCACTTAATGTCATTGTAACCTTAGGTAAACCCTTAGCCTCTCTGAGCCTCATCTGTAAAATAAGGATACTAACAGTAGCCATCTCATGGTGATTCTGCGAGTTAACATATTTAAAGCTCTTAGAACAGTGACTGGCACATAGTAATACTTAATAGCTGTTAGCTATGATCATTATTACTGTAATAAATGATACTTCTGTCAAAGCTAAAAAGATACACCAGTATCAAAATATTAATTAGATATTATATATGTATTATATCATTCACACAGGATATATTAACATCAAAAATATATGTTTAAGTATATGCCAGAAATTTCTGACAAACCACAATCCTTTATTTACTTCTTATTTTTGAGACAGTCTCAGTCTTTCACCTGGGCTGAAACATGGTGGTGCAATCATGGCTCACTGCAGCCTCAACCTCCTGGTCTCAGATGGCTCTCTTGCCTCAGCATCCCAAGTAGCTGGGACTCCAGGCATTCGCCATCACATGTGACTAATATTTTTGTAGAGACAGGGTTTCACCATGTTGCCCAGGCTGGTCTGGAACTCCTGGGCTCAAGTAATCTGCCCACCTTGGTTTCCCAAAGTGTGGGATTACAGGCATGAGCCCCTCACCCAGCCCAAAGTCCTTTATTTTTTAAAATAAGGTTTCCTGTAATAATGCCAAGAATATTTTTCATAACATATTAAAATTATTTTTATCTTTATTATAGGACATTTCTTCCATGACTTTTTTCTGCCTCAGTATAATAAATTAGAAACTTTTTGTTAAAACAAATCCCTAGTATTAGTTTAAGTATGGGAGGTTTGGAGAGTTCTTGTTTTAGAGTGATTAGACCTGAAAAGGAGAATAAAATTAAATACCATGGTTTTTAAATGGGAGCTGGTGGGGGAAGAGTAAAGACTTTTTACTGACCTTTCCATGCACTATACTGTAGCCTAACCTAAAATACTGCCCAGGATAAACTGATGCATTCTTAATCCTATTAATATTCAGGTGGCTTTTTTTAGAAGTAATCGGACTATGTGCCCATATATAGTAGTTGTATCTTAAAGGAAGAGTGAATAAGAGGGAGAAAATAGTTACATGTACTGTGAGTAGAATTTCTTAGGTACTGTCACTTTAATATTTTGACATTTTAGAGGTTTTAATCTAGTATTTTCATCTTGGAAGGATTAATTGGTTATTTAATTAGTATTTAGGCCCTGTATAATTGCTTTATTTTATTCCTTTAGCCCTCCTTACAGTCTAGAAAAAATGACAGACCTCGTAGCTGTCTGGGATGTTGCTTTAAGTGACGGAGTCCACAAGATTGAATTTGAACATGGGACTACATCAGGCAAACGAGTAGTATATGTAGATGGAAAGGTAGGAAGAAAATATGTTACTCTGTAAAATATGATGTATAGAGAAGCTTGATTTTGTTAAAGTAGCATCTTCATATGTGAATTTGGGGTTTTTTTTTCTTATAGTCATGTTTTTGATCTGTATCATTTTGCTGTGTAAATAGTTATAGAATTCATGGATATAGCATGTAATATTTTTTATTTATTTTTATTTTATTCTATTCTATTCTATTCTATTCTATTCTATTCTATTCTATTCTATTTTTTTTGAGACAGAGGCTCTGTCACCCAGGCTGGAGTGCAGTGGCCGGATCTCCGCTCACTGCAAGCTCTGCCTCCCGGGTTTACGCCATTCTCCTGCCTCAGCCTCCCGAGTAGCTGGGACTACAGGCGCCTGCCACCTCGCCCGGCTAGTTTTTTTTTTTTTTAGTAGAGACGGGGTTTCACCGTGTTAGCCAGGATGGTCTCGATCTCCTGACCTCGTGATCCGCCCACCTCGGCCTCCCAAAGTGCTGGGATTACAGGCTTGAGCTACCGCGCCCGGCCAGCATGTAATATTTAAACTTAAAGTGCTTTTATTTTCTAAAACCTTGGCGTCATAAATTAATAAAATTATATCCTTTTTTTTTTTTTTTTTTTTTTTGAGACGGAGTCTCGCTCTGTCACCCAGGCTGGAGTGCAGTGCTGTGGTCTCGGCTCACTGCAAGCTCCACCTCCTGGGTTTAAGTGATTCTCCTGCCTCAGCCTCCCAAGTAGCTGGGATTACAGGCACCCGCCACCACGCCCGGCTAATTTTTTGTATTTTTAGTAGAGACAGGGTTTCACCGTGTTGGCCAGGCTGGTCTCAAACACCTGACCTCGTGATCTGCCCGCCTCAGCCTCCCAAAGCTTTCTGGGATTACAGGCATGAGCCACCATGCCTGGCAATAAAATTATATCTAAATGGCATTGCCTTTGTTCACTTTACGTTATTTCTAAAATTAAATATTAATTTTTCTTCCGTTTGTTTCAAATTTTTCTATTTTATTATGTAGGAAGAGATAAGGAAAGATTGGATGTTCAAATTAGTGGGCAGAGAAACATTCTGTGTTGGAGCTGCGAAGACAAAAGCGACCATAAATATAGATGCTATCAGTGGTTTTGCTTATGAATATACTCTGGAAATTAATGGGAAGAGTCTTAAGAAGTATATGGAGAACAGATCAAAAACCACCAATACTTGGGTATTACACATGGATGGTGAGAACTTTAGAATTGTTTTGGGTAAGTTAGTGCTGTTTCTGCATAACTTATTTTTTTATAATGTCTGTTTAATTCCTGTAACTATTCAGACCTTCTATGGAGGTTTGAAAAGGAGAGGGAGTGTAAGTGCAGATGTATTTCACTTGTTTAAAAACATTTTTAAAAATCTTTTTGTTTCCCATCTGCTTGGGATTGTCTAGCAGGTGTGTATATTGTCCAGTAGGTGTATTTATAATGTGTCCTGTGTAAATGAAGCATTCATTTAATCCACCATTTTATATGTAAGCTATCTTAAGCCAGGTTTTATGGTGATGGATTTGAGGATTATAAGTTTAGGTTTTAAAAAAATGTAATATTGCCAGGCGCGGTGACTCATGCTTGTAATCTCAGCACTTTGGTAGGCCAAGGTGGGAGGATCACCTGAGGTCAGGAGTTTGAGGCCAGCCTGGTCAACATGGTGAAACCCCCCTCTACTAAAAATACAAAAATTAGCTGGACATAGTGGCACATGCCTGTAATCCCAGCTACTCAGGAGGCTGAGGCAAGGGAATCACTTGAATCCAGGAGGTGGAGGTTGCAGTGAGTGAGACTGTGCCACTGCATTCCAGTCTGGGTGACAAAGCAAGACTCTGTCTCAAAAAAAAAAAAAAAGTAATATTGGTGTAGATTTTGATATTATTTGGTATTTCTCTTTATAAATATATCTTAAAGACAGTTGGGAATTTAGCATTTATCAGTAAGAAAGCAATATTTTCCTAGATAACAATAGGCTTAGTACTGCATCAGATAAAACTTATCAAAGTTTAGGACTTTTTGAAGAGTTTTGTTTGTTTGTTTTTCTAGGCTTTCCTGTTTGGGTTTCTCTTTTCTTATGGAAAATAGATATATATCTTTTCTTTACCCATATTCCTATGTCTGTTAGCAGTTTTACTCATGTTCTCTATTGCTTGGAATTCTTTTCATTCTTTGATGTTTTTGAGACAGGGTCTCACTTTGTCACCCAGGCTGGAATGCATTGGTGTGCATGAACATGGCTCAACCTTGTCTTCCTGGGCTCAGGTGATCCTCCAGCCTCAGCCTCCCGAGTAGCTGGGACTACAGGTCTACATCACCATGCCAGGCTAACTTTAAAAAAAATTTTTGTAGAGACAGGATCTCACCATGTTGCCCAGGCTGATCTTGAGCTCCTGGGCTCAAGTGATCCTCCTGCCTCAGCCTCCAAAAGTACTGGGATTACAGGTATAAGCAGCTGTGACCACCCTTCTTTTCATTCTTAACAACAATATTGGGAGTCTGTTGGCTTCCTGTTCTAAATATCCAAGTCTGCTGCTTCATAGCCACCCTAGACTTTCTTTCATGGAACTCTTTTGTTCTTCTAGTTATTGAACCCCTTAACTCCTGCTTTCATCTTTGTTTACTGGAATATATCCTTAGGTAATCTCCTGATAAAGGGTGTCTAAGAAATAAACATAACTTTGATCCTAATGCTAAATTGATAGTTTTGTTCAGTACAGGGTTTTAATTTCAAACTAATTTTCTCTCAGAATTTTTGAAACCCTTATTCCAATAGCTTTTATTCTCTGTTGTTTGAAATGAGAAGTTTTGTGCCAATCTGAATCTCATTTTTTTCTTTCCAGAAGGTTTTGGGAGCTCATCTTATCCCTTATATTTCCAAATTTCATAGTGATATATTTAGGAATATAGTTACTCAATCTGCAAAAAAGTTTTAGAACCACTGGATCTCATTAATAATGGAAATTTTAGTTTTTAAAAGGATTATGATTAGTGTCAACACTCTTGAACATATGGGACTTTAACAGATGATGAAACCAGGCCTTTAGTTAATTTTAGGTAATTAATCAGCTCCTTTGCCAACTTGTAATACAATTGATATTAACTTTTCCTGGGAGAAATGGAAGAGACTACCTAAGCTATGCCTAGCATACAGTTAGTTCTCTTTTAAACGCCCAGGGGCCTGCTTATCTACTTGTGAATTATCTCCGGTCTTTCAAAAAATCTATTTTTCTCCTTTTACTCCTTGTCTGCCTTTACTCTTCCCTATCCATTTGCAATCCCTCATGAGCCTGGAAATGAGACAGAGTTCAGCCCAGACTTGTCCCTTTTGCTATTTGGAAGGGACAAGGGACCAGGGTCGTTTACCGAGGTAAAGGCAAAATTGCCTATGTTATTGATATTGCTTGCACTTCTACTTCCAAGATCCATCAAACTGTGGACTATGCTGACTACAGCCTACGTTTTACAGATTAGTTATGAAGAATGCAGGCTCCCGGATCAGAGCTGTGTGATGGGCAAATTACTTAACCTCTGAGCCTTGGTTTCCTCATCTGTAAAATGGGGATAATACAGCGGCTCATGCCTGTAATCCCAGCACTTTGGGAGGCCGAGGTGGGTGGATCACGAGGTCAGGAGATCGAGACCATCCTGGCTAACATGGTGAAACCCCGTCTCTACTAAAAATACAAAAAAATTAGCCGGGCGCAGTGGCGGGCACCTGTAGTCCCAGTTACTCGGGAGGCTGAGACAGGAGAATGGCGTGAACCCAGGAGGCGGAGCTTGCAGTGAGCAGAGATCACACCACTGCACTCCAGCCTGGGCGACAGAGCGAGACTCTGTCTCAAAAAAAAACCAAAAAACAAAAAAAATGGGGATAATAATGGTAACTCCTTCACAGAGTTGTGGTATGAGTGAAGCTTAATTGATTTAGTACATGTAAAGTACTTAGCAGTGGTTCTCACATTGTGAATTCTTTAAAAATATTGTTTGTCAGCCAGGTACAGTGGCTCACACCTGTAATCCCAGCACTTTAGGAGGCCGAAGTGGGAGGATCACTTGAGCCCAGGAGTTCGAGACCAGCCTGGGCAACATAGGGAGACCTCATCTCTGCAAAATATTTACATATTTGCTGAGTCACATAGCACATGCCTGTAGTCCCAGCTACTTGGGAGGCTGAGGTGAGAGGATCACTTGAGCCCAGGGATTCAAGGTTGCAGTGAGCTAAATTGCACCACTGCATTCCAGCTTGGATGACAGAGTGAAACTCTGCCTCAAAATTAATAATAATTTGGCTGGGCATGGTAGCTCACACCTGTAATCCCAGCACTTTGGGAGGCCAAGGCAGGTGGATCACTTGAGGTCAGGAGTTTGAAACCAGCCTGACCAACATGGTGAAACCCTGTCTCTACTAAAAATACAAAAATTAGCTGGGCATGGTGGTGGGCACCTGTAACCCCAGCTACTTGGGAGGCTGAGGCGGGAGTATTGCTTGAGCCTGGGAGGCGGAGGTTGCAGTGAGCCGAGATCGCACCACTGCACGCCAGCCTAGGTGATCAAGCAAGACTCTGTCTCAAAAATAATAATAATAATAATTAATTTAAAATATTATTTGTGGTTATTATTACTACTCATGGGCAAAGAATGGGCTTATCTGGGGTCTCCTGGTAAAAGTCACTTATATATATTATGTGGCAAGTTTCAAATGATAGTATTATATGACTTTCTAAATTTTATATTGAGAAATTAGAGCAAGGCCACGAAAAAGCTTTGAATAACAAAATATTATGATTTACTGAGGTCATATTATGTGCCGGATACTATACTAGGCACTTTATATAAATTATTCCTAACCCTTATAACAACCTGTGGGAAAAGTGGTATCTTCATTTGCCCCTGAGGAAATGGAAGCTCAGAGTAGTGGTGACTTGCCAAAGGGTACTGCTAGTAAAAAGTGATGCTGAGACCTGACCTCAAAGATCATGTGCATTCTTTTTCACCACCCCAAAAATGTGAGGCGTATAAGGGCAATGAAAACAGAGTTGGTTAGCATTCTTAGCTCTGGTAGTCTCCACACCACTGAATATCATGGGAGGAAAATAAAACTGGCAGGAGGAAAGTACATATGAAACTTCATGTTGAAAGGAAATTCTCTTTCTGTTCTGAAAAGTTTCACTTCTCTGGTAGCATTTACAGAACATAACCTGCTCAGGACTCACCTGGGAAGTCCCTAGCTATTGTTCTTGTGGCTGAGGGAATCTGCAGGCAGGTAAAGAGGAGATGCTCCAAGACGAACATGCAGCAGCACCTCCCATGAGTCACTGAATCCACCTCTGAGTCATGACAGATTTGACATTTTATCAGCCAGATATGTCCTTTTATTAACATATCGTTTTGAATAGGTTACATACTCAAGATTCAGAAATCAAAATGCTATTAAAAGACACAGTGAAAAGTCTTGCTTCCATCCCTGTTCCCATCTGCCATATTCCCCCATCAAGATAACCATTTTTAGTGTCACTCTAGTGTTTCTTTATTCAGATTCAAGCAAATACACATATTATCTCTTATCACATAAAAGCATCTTGCTTTATTTGCTTAGTACATTCTGAAGATCCTTTTATATCAGAACCTAAAGAACTTTTTCATGCTTTTTTATAGCTACAGAGTAAATTTCAATAGTAAATATTTAGCTCACTCCCAACTGATGAACGCTTGAGCTGTTTCTAATCTTTTGCTGTTAAAAGCAATGCTGCATGAATAGCTTTGATTGCATGCCTCTTGGAATACAGGACACATATTGTATTAGTACACATTTCTGGAAGTAGGAAAGTAGGACTTCTTCTGGGTCAAAGAATAATTGTATTTGTCATTTTAAACGATTTCTGCCCATTTGCCTTCTATAGTACTTTTACCATTTTGTACCCCCATTAGCTATTTTCCCGCAGGTTCTCCAGCAGAACATGTTGCTAAACTTTTGAATTTTTTGGCATTCTGCTAGGAGAAGAAATGGTATTTCAGGGTTGTTTTTATTTGTCTTTTTCAAAAGTGAGGTTGAGCATCTTAGGTTTAAGTTTCTTTTGTGTTTCCTTTCTCATGATGCCTGTTCATGCCCTTTGCCCTATTTTCTTTTGGTTGTTGGTGTTTCTCTCCTTCATTTCTCACAGTCTTCACATTAGTAAGTTTAGTCCTTTGTTCATGCTGTGAGTTTGAAATATTTTTCCGAGTTTGTCATTTATTGCATAACTTGGCTAATGTGTGTGCATTTTTCTTCAGTTGTGCTGTGGCTTTTTTACTTTTTTTTTTTTTTTTTTTGAGACAGGGTCTCACTCTGTCGTCCAGTCTGATGGAGTGCAGTGGTGCAATGTTGGCTCACTGCAACCTCCACCTCCCGGGTTCAAGCAATTCTCCTGCCTCAGCCTCCCGAGTATCTGGGATTACAGGCGCCCACTACTATGCCCAGCTAATTGTTTGTATTTTTAGTAGAGACAGGGTTTCACCATGTTGGCCAGACTGGTCTCGAACTCCTGACCTCGTGATTCGCCCGCCTCGGCCTCCCAAAGTGCTGGGATTACAGGCATGAGCCACTGCGCCCGGCCTTTTCTTTACTTTTATGTAGTCAAATTTAATACATTTACTTTCAGGGCTTCTGGATTAGTAGTGTTCTTCAGAGGCATGCTAATACGCTATTGTAGAAACTCTGAGTACATGCACATGTTCAGTAAGTATAGCAAGTAAAATACGAGTTTCCACCACCATCGTGGTTTATCATAGCACTGTGCACACTGATCATGTCTTGGGACAAGTTGAGTTTACCTGCAGCTGTGACTGTAGTGACTTTCTACTAAGGCTGCCACTGAGGTGACCCCTGCCCATATCTCCTGGACCCCTCTGGCTTTCTCTTTTTCCATCTAGCGCACCTCATAGGCTTTTCTCCCATCTCTAAGTGAGGCTCCCATCTCAAGGTGTGGAGAGGGCAAGAACCCCCTTTAGACTGTGCTCCTGGAGCAGATGGCCAGGCAGTCAGACCCTGGACTGGTGCCTCAAACCTGACCCCCGGACTCCTTGTGCACATACAGGCCACACTTCCTTCTCTTCTTCACTATAATACCCAAAGCTCATCTTCCGGCTTCTTGATTAGTGCAGTCTTCTCTCCTGATACTCCCAGGACACTAACATTTGCAAGGGGCTCTGGGGACTCCCCCACCCTAAGGTGAGCTATGGCAAGTTAACTGATGTGTTTTAGTGTGTTGGGGCAGCATTTTGTTCCATGTTGTTCCTTAGTGTGCAGTCCACCAGCTATACCTAATTTTTACTTGTAATCCAGTAATTTTTCTCTAAAGTGAAACCACTCTGAAAAGGAATAGACATTATTGTACTACCTAGTAAGAAGCTGGACTAGATTTCTAAAGTGGACGTGCTGTCTATCTTGTATAAACCCCATGGCAGCTGCTTTTGGTGGTCCCTTTGTGCCATCATCCAGTTGGGTGAGTGTGGGAGGCAGGGGAGTCATCTGGTCAGTACTGAAGGACATTTTGTGTGGAAAGGTCCCTCCTCACATTCATCTGTATGCATCCTTCTTTTTTGTTTGTTTGTTTGTTTGAGACCGAGTCTTGCTCTGTCACCCAGGCTGGAGTGCAGTGGTGTGATCTTGGCTCACTGCAAGCTCCGCCTCCCAGGTTCATGCCATTCTCCTGCCTCAGCCTCCCAAGTAGCTGGGACTACAGGCGCCCGCCACCATGCCCAGCTAATTTTTTGTATTTTTAGTAGAGACGAGGTTTCACCGTGTTAGCCAGGATGGTCTTCATCTCCTGACCTCGTGATCTGCCCACCTCAGCCTCCCAAAGTGCTGAGATTACAGGCATGAGCCACCGCACCCGGCCTGTATGCATCCTCCTTTAAAGATGGTCCTTTTGGATTTATTTTGTTTCATAAGGCTTCATCAATTTGTATTAGGACAATAACTTTCTCTTAAAAGATTGTTTTGTTTCATTATAGTTTTATGAACAAAGAACAAACACAGCTTCTTCAAATTTTAGGAGAGTCTCCAAGCCATGAAAGCCATGAAAAAGCATTGGGTTTTGGAATATTAATGGAGTTTTAGAGATCTGGTATATCAATCCTTTCCTAAAGTAATAAATAGGAAAAGTTAGCTTTATCTTTAATTCACAGAATTATAACTTAAAGTTTTTATGCTACTTTTACAGAAAAAGACACTATGGACGTATGGTGCAATGGTAAAAAACTGGAGACAGCAGTAAGTTGACTATTTGATGACTCTAAGTGCCATGTATCTAAGTTACCATTGAATTGTTGCTGTATTTCCTAATTATAGCGATTTTATAATGAACCAAGGCCCTGTTGACAACAACAAAAAAGGGATTAAGTACTCCTGACTCCAGATTCTGAAAACCTTTGCCAGACAGTGCCTGGTGCCATGAGTTTGGAAACAACTTATGTTCTTAGCTGACACCAACTTCGTACTCTCCCTTTCCTGTCCTGGACCAGGCTCTAGCATAGCAAGTAAAATACCAGTAAAATACCTAGCAAGTAAAATACCTAAAAAGAGCCCCTAGTTAAAATTATATCCCCAAAGGTTGGTGTCCTCTTGTGTTTATCCATTTGAAGTGGTGCGTTATGTATCACTGCTTCTCAAACTTGCATGCACAGAAATTGCCTGGGATCTCGTTAAAATGCTAATTCTAACATTTCCCTAGGTGCTGCTAGTGCTGCTGGTCCACAGAACACACTTTAGGAATGCTTTATACCATACACTCAAGCAGAGCGTTCTTTTCTGAAAGCGAGATTTTTGTAAAATGAGTGATACGGTATCAGATGACGCGAAGGTAGACGAACAGGAAAGGGCACGTTCACAAAGCCCAGAGGACGAGTGGAATTCTAGACCAGCAGTGCCGCTGCAGGGAGAAAGAGGCTACCCCAGTCACTGTGGCCAGGCACACTGAAATCCCCATCTAGACTCCAGTGTGTTTGGCTTTTGCTCTCAGGTGCTTGGATTACTGTGGCTGTGGATGGGATGAATGTAGGAGTGAATTTCAAGGAGGAATGAAACAGTAGTAGTGCGCACAGGGGAGAGAGTGGGAAACAAAGTGTGGGACTAGGAGCTGAAATCACTGGGTGGTAAGCCCCATGTCTTATGGGATCTGCGGGCCAAGCAGGGAGTGCTGTCGCTGTGACCCACCTTCATGCTGGCTCCAGATGTGAACATCAGGGCTAGAGATAACGGGAAGCTCTCTTCTCTGGTCACATTTTGCATGTTGTAGTTGCTTTTATCCCATTTGTATAGTATAGGTATAAGACAGTGAGAAAAGGTGCTATTGGTAGTTGGAGGAAAGGAGGTCTGGGATTAATTTATTCATAAGACCACCTAGAACCTACTTGGTCTGATAGCTGTTTCTGAGGAGGTGACAAAGCCAGAAATCAAAAATTACAAAGATGAAGCCACACGTGGTAGCACAGGTCTGTAGTGGCCTCCTACTTGGGAGGCTGAAGTGAGAGGAACCCCTGAGTCTAGGAGTTTTAGGCCAGCCTGAGCAACATAGTGAGACCCCATCTCTAAAATAATTAATCAATAAATTGAAATTTAAAAGTCACAAAGATGAATGCTTTTCTGTTTCTGAGTCCTGAAGAATTTAATTTGGGCTCACTCAAAACTGAGTGCTTGAGCTGCTGTCTGGTTAAATCTGCTGACAGAGACTTCTTTTATGCCGAGAGGCTTGGAGAGTGCTTCAGTATTTTATGGCCCCCTTTGGAAAAACTCCAGTTACCACTAACATGGATCAGACACCTACTGTGTGCCCAATGCCATACCTGGTGGTTCCTCCTGTTCTTTTTTTCCTAACCTGGAATTCTCTAGATAGAGAATCAGCACTTTTGAATCTCATTTCCTCTCACACTCGAGAAATTCTCCAGTGCACATGTAAAGGGAATGCTGTTTTATGGTATTAAGAGTGTGGTTGTACTGGTCGAGGTGACTCATGCATGTAATCCCAGCACTTTGGGAGGCTGAGGCGGGCAGATTGCTTGAACCTAGGAGTTTAAGACTAGTCTGGGTGACATGGCGAAACTCCTCTCTACTAAAAATACAAAAATTAGTAGAGCATGGTGGCGCATGCCTGTAGTCCCAGCTACTCGGGAGGCTGAGGTGGAAGAATTACCTGATCCCAGGGAGGTTGGGGCTGCAGTGAGCCAAGGTTGCACCACAACACTCCAGCCTCGGTAACAGAATGCGAGACCCTGTCTCAAAAAAAAAAAAAAAAAAAAATGCAATTGTAACTTTGGGAGGCCGAGATGGGAGGTTCACTTGAGGCCAGGAGCTCATGACCACCCTGGGCAGCATGACAAGACTGTATCTCCACACAAAACTTTTTTTTTTAAGTTAGCTGTGTATGGTGGTGTATGCCTGGTCCCTGCTGCTCAGGAGGCTGAGGCAGGAGGATTGCCGGAGCCCAGGAGTTCAAGGCTGCAATGAACTACAATTGTACCCCTGTACTCCAGCCTGGGTGGCAAGAGCAAGACCCTGTCACACACACACACAAAGAATGTTGTTGTGGTTGTAAAAAGGTGAAAATAATATTCATCCACATATCTTTGTTTTGTAGTAATTAACAGGAAACCACATGTGTTTGGAAAATAGCTCTTTATAACACAATTGCTTTCTCATTGTAACTACAACCTAGTTTGCAGGGCAGTTTGGGCAGCTCCATATCTGGGCAGCCTTCCCCAGTACTGTATGTACCCACAACAAACTCATCCTGTTGCCTGTGAGTTACAGCTGATTTTCTCCTTTTTATCTCAAAGCATCGTGCCAAAATTATATATTTGTCCAATTGCCAAGAAGCTGGTTATATAGATTATATTACCTAACCCTTGCCCTTTCCTCTGAAGTCTTTTTTTTAAGGCTCAATATTAAAAATGGGGACAGGAACACACTGCACCCAAGGACATGCTTGTGGTATTCAGCACACCTCCCATAAGGAGCCACTGGCCACATCCTTCCCAGAGCTGGGAAAAGGCTTCTCTCCCTGAGGCGTCCTGTGCCTTCTTCGGCTTGGTATTGTTAACTGGGGGCTTTCTTCTGTCTACTTTGGCTGCCAGGAAGCTCATAGCCAGGGTTTAAATCTGATTTTCTGTTTCTTTGCTTTCTAGCATAAATCATTTCTTATCCTCTAAGCCTCTTCTTCCTTCCTTCCTTCTCTGTGCTAATCTTTTTACTGTAGATCACTGCTACCCAATCAAAGTACCATATGAGGCACAGATATGACCTTCATGTGTAATTTTAACTTACCTAGTATCCACATTTGAAAAAATTTTAGATGAAGTTAATTTTAATATTATATTTAATTTAAATCAATATATCAAAAATATTATTTAACATGTAATCAGTATGAAAAGTTATTTTATATATTTTTGTTTCATACTAGGTGTTTCAAATCTAGTGTCTATTTTATATTTAAACAGCATATCTATTTTCAGACTAGTCAATTTCAAGTGCCCAATAGCCACATGTGGCCAGTGGCTACTGTATTGAACAGAACAGGCATAGATTTAGTGGTGTTTGGTTTTGTTATCTGTATATTTTATTGTAAGCCACCTTATACCCAGAGGAATCAGATTTTCAGAGTGGCTAAGAACACTATCCCTGGCTGGATGCCGTGGCTCACACCTGTAATCCCAGCACTTTGGGAGGCTGAGGCAGGTAGATCACTTGAGGCATTTATAAATAACTAATAAATGTCATGTTTATCATTTTTATTTTTGAAAACATATGTTATAGACACATAGCCATGAGGTTTATATTCCTCCCCCAAGAATTTAAGATTCTTAAGGATTGTAGGGGTTATAAAAAGGAAACTTTCAATTCATAACAGAAATGTAAAAGCATCTAAGTACAAGCTTTAGACGTTGTTTTTCAAAGCTTATTGTTTAATACATTATTTTATTGTACTACTGGTACTTTTAGATGGTGTTAATGCTCTAGACAAAGAGAAATGTTTGTGCACCACTAATTCCTTCTTCTTTTGTTGATCCAGGGTGAGTTTGTAGATGATGGGACTGAAACTCACTTCAGTCTCGGGAACCACGACTGTTACATAAAGGCTGTCAGTAGTGGGAAGCGGAAAGAAGGGATTATTCATACTCTCATTGTGGATAATAGAGAAATCCCAGAGATTGCAAGTTAATGAATCTTAATCTTAAGAAGTAAAGATCAGGACTTTTTAATTACTGTGGTAATTAAATTGTTCAGTATGTACTTATCAGTACATTTAGTCTGCAATGTTTTTATTTTTTAAAAAGTTACATGAAACTGTAACATTCCAAGGGTCAGGAAAAAAACCAATTATGTATAGTCATAAAAATTACAATGTATGATGCAAATAATGTAAAATGTTTTAAAGACAAATGGAAAATAAGATATGGACCAAAGTCACTAATGTTTTACAACAGTAACCTTTACTATAATAAATACTGTAAACAAAATCTACTTGATTTGTGTTTCTATGTATGGGTAAGTCTTTATGTGTTTTTAACCTGTGCAGATAGGCTGTCTCTCTAGTTTACAGCAGTTGCTACATAATGATACAATTAGTTTAACTGAAGAAAATGAGCAACTTTTTTTTATTTGGAAACATTAAGGAAACTTCAGATAGTGAGTGTCACAAGAATTTAATTTAAAATGTAGGTTTCTGAAAATGTGGTTATTTTGTTTAATTAACATGGTGAAGGCATAAACCAAAAGGAAAAGAAGCAAACTCCTTTACACCAGATTGTATCAGGTGCTACCTCAGGCGGTAATTAAAAAGTGAGAGTTGTGTGTCTGTACCTAGGTGTTGCCCCAGTGTTAGTGCTTCTGTGACTGAATCGGCCTGTGCAGGCATACTCACAAAGACCAGCCAAGTCAATACATTAAGTGCCTGAGGGTTGTCATTTCAATACTCGGAAAGTCTTTCAAGGCAGGATACAGTTTAATAGTAGACCATATTGGGGCATTTCACATCTGTTATCACTGCTGATCTTCTGTGTGAGGGGGCATTCTCCATTTTTTGACTTGCTCCGTCCAATTTGGTTGCCATTAGTCACATGGCTATTTAAGTTAATTAAAATGAAGTACAATCAAAAATTCAGTTTCTCAGTCATGCTAGCTTCACTTCAACTGCTCAATAGTCACATGTAGCTAGTGGCTGTCATACCAGACAGTGTAGAGAACATGTCCGTCACCACACCAGGTTCTGTTGGACAGCACTGGTCTAGATAGACTGTCTCAGGTTGAGTGAGTTGCTCAGTAGTGTCGTAGGATTCTAAATCCAGGTTTTTCTGATACTAAGACTTATGCCCTTTACTACTGTCTCCCTGCCATTAACATATTTTGAAGAGACTTTGGGCAGAACAGAGGCAGAACCAGGTTCTAACAGCAGGAAAGAGAAATCGGGCAGGAGAGAGTGAGGGAAGAAGGTTTGGAGAGGCCAGGACCCGGCAGGCCACATGCAGGGTGGCAAGGTGGTTGTGTGGAAAAGCCTTGGCTCCTTCCTTCTTCTAACACCTTTTATTTTGAAGTCTTGACCACTGGCAGCTCAGTGTACTACCTTTACAAAAACGTTTACGAGGCTGGGCTGGTGATTCATGCCTCTCATCCGAGCACTTTGGAAGGCTGAGACAGTAGGATTGCTTGAGCCCAAGAGTTCAAGACTAGCCTGAGCAACATAGTGAGACTCTGTCTCTACAAAACAAAACAAAAATTTAAGTTTTTAAAAGATTTTTACCAAAAAACCTCTCTGCTCTTCCCATTCCACCCCCTAGTTTTGCTTCAATGCCATTGGAAGACCAGGAAACAATCTAAGAGGGACTCTGAGGCTGTTAAACTCGCATTTGGGTTTGCTTTCATTTATTTTGGAGTTGTGGTTTACTTTCATTTTTCTTGAGTAAAAGTCTTCTTTTAATGGCCATATTTTATCTGCTAGAAAAATATTTTGTGCCATGTCCAAAAGCAAAGCAATTATTTTTAGGCGTTGGACTTTGAGCTGTAGTTATTAGAGCTCAAAATCTGTGATTTGCAGTGGTTGTCATGTACCTAAGCAAACACTTGGGAGTGCAGTTCGATTCTGTCTTTATGGAGACCAACCTCCAGGAATATAGTCTTGCCTTTGACATGGTAAATCCATGTTTGTTTTGTTTTGTTAATTCAAAGCAGCACAATAATGTGGAAAAAAGTATAGCCTAGATCTGAAGTTTGGCACAGCAAGTTAAGTTCTTGAGCCTCAGTTTCCTCACCTTAAAACTTGAGGCTATTACTTGTCTTAGTTATTTAATTAGACATTTCAGATGTACAAAAAATAGAAAATATGACCCTGCTGTATTATTAAACTAGGTGTACTGATTACCCAGTTTAATAACTAAAGCATTACCAATGCAACTGAATATCCATATACCCTCCCTGTTCTCCTTCCCCTCCCTTGTGCAACTAATAACTATTGTGTATTTGATGTGTATCATTCCCATGCAAGTTTATATTATTTTACTTTTGATATATATTTTTGATATGCATCAAAAAAGTACAGTATTATTTTAAAATGTGAATGTTACCACTTTCTGTGTATCCTTCCTACATCATGGTTTTCCCCCACTCAACAATGTTTTTTGATCTAGGTTGGTATGTGTATCTCCAGTTCCTTTAACTCTTGCATTCAACCTTACAAATTTAGCTGCACATACCCCTAGTTTTCAGATGATCATCAATACATCAGCGGCTCTAATGAACATCTTTATGTGTGCCCCTTGAGTTTATGTTCAAGAGTTTCCCTTGGGCCTTGGTACTTTAAGTGTGCCCCTAGACCAACAGCAATGGTATCACCTGGGAGCTTGTTAGAAATTAAGAATCGCAGGTTCTTCCCCAGGCCTACTGAAGGAGAATCTGTGTTTTAACAAGAGCCCCCCTGGTGATTTGTACATGGAAGATTTAGATTTAGAAGCACTGTTACAGGTCTGTTGAGGAGCAGAACTGCTAAGTCAAAGGGTAGGTGCCTCTTCAATACTATTAGATATTTGCCAGACTGCCCTCCAGGGCACTTGTGCTGTTGAATACTTTGGCCAGCAGTAGAGTTTTCTTTTCTTAATATTTTCACCCCACTTGATATACGGTCAGGCTTTTAAAGTTTTGCCAATCTGAGGGTTTAAACAATATTGCATTTTAATTTTATTTTTTCTCATTTTGTTTTCTCATTTTATTTTTTGAGTATCTTATATGTTTATTGTCGATTCAGGTTTCCTTTTCTGAGAATTGTCTATTTCTTTTGCTTATTTTTCTGTTGAGTTGTTTGACAATTTCTAATAGATTTGTAGTAGTTCTACATATATCACAGAACTGACCGTTTGTTGCCTTTCCCTTACAGCAATATGAAATGTGCAATATATCAAGTCTCCCAGGCATCCCTTCAATTTAACACACAGTACCTACTTCCTCTAGTGAGTTCTGAGGGTAGGGACCACATACCACTGTCTCCCCCAGGACCTAGCATACCCCTCACAGATGGTAGGCAGTGAGATTCATATTACTGCAGCTCAAAGGAGAGGGCTGGGCTGGAGATGTACATGTGGACATCATGAGCACATGCAGGAGATTTAAAGCTATGGGAATGGGTAAATTCAACTAGAGAGCTTGTAAAGAAACTAGAAAGGGAACCTAAAATTAAACCCCAAACAGCTACAACATTTCTGACTGGCTAAGGCCAATAAAAGCCTTAATTAAGTCAGGAAATTTTGAAGCTGTAAAACAAAAGACAAACATATTTGACAATCTAGCAAGTTTGTATGGCAAAATATACCATTAAAAAAGCCAATATACAAACAATAGATTTGGGGAAAATATTTGCAATGTAGATGAAAAGAGTCAACATACATATAAAGGGCTCTTTTTTAAAATTTATTTTTTATTATACTTTAAGTTCTAGGCTACATGTGCACAACGTGCAGGTTTGTTACATATGTATACTTGTGCCATGTTGGTGTGCTGCACCCATTAACTTGTCATTTACATTAGGTATATCTCCTAATGCTATCCCTGCCCCCTCCCTCCATCCCATGACAGGCCCTGGTGTGTGATGTTCCCCTTCCTGTGTCCAAATGTTCTCATTGTTCAATTCCCACCTATGAGTGAGAACATGCAGTACTTGGTTTTCTGTTCTTGCGATAGTTTGCTAAGAATGATGGTTTCCAGCTGCATCCATGTCCCTACAAAGGACATGAACTCATCCTCTTTTATGGTTGCATAGTATTCCATTCGCCATTCTAACTGGTGTGAGATGGTATCTCATTGTGGTTTTGATTTGCATTTCTCTGATGGCCAATGATGATGAGCATTTTTTCATGTGTCTGTTGGCTGCATAAATGTCTTCTTTTAAAAAGTGTCTGTTCATATATATATAGAGAGAGAGTCTTAGAAGTCCACACAATGCGCACTTTACAGGGGAGTTAGTGACTGGAAGGTGGCATGAAAGGAACTTCTGAGATTGGTAATTTTCTATTTTTGATCTGGGTGCTGGTCACAAAGACAATTCACTTTGTGAAAAATAAGCTATATTCCTATATGATTTTTATGGTATGTTCTAAAAGAATGTTAAACTTCAATAAAGATTTTAAAATGTACTTACAATAAAGTTTTTAAAAATATGCCCCACATATCTTCTTCCCTTGGGAATCTATTCCATGAGAATAAAGGCATTAGTGTTAGTATATAAGGATATATACAAGGACGTTTATTGCAGCATTGTTCATAGTGGGGGATAACAGAAACTGGAAATTGTAAATGCCCATCTACAGATAAATGATTGAATAAATGATTATATATCACAAGTTACAACTCAGCATTCAGAAGAATGAATTGGAGAGGTTTCCATGATGTATTTTTGAATCAAGAAAAGGTAAGCTGAAGAGTGGGTATAATGTAGTTCAATTTTATAAAACAATGGCAGAGCATCCTACCTAATGTATGTATGTGTGTCTTTACAGGTTTTTTTCTGTATGTGATTATACAAGCATGGAGAGAAACAGAGGTCGCAAACAATTATAATGACATGAGTTGCCTGGTAGGAATGGGCGTGGGATTGATTGAGAGAGGTGGGGAGTAACCAAAATTTAAAAAAAAAAAAAAAGGTTTCACTTAAAAAATAAGCAGTTATGATCACATTTATACATTTACATAAAATTGTTTATAAGAAGCAAACAAAGAAAAAATTAAAATTGGATAAAGGAGAAAGAGTTAGTGAAACATTGAACCCAGGAGGCGGAGGTTGCAATGAGCCAAGATCGCGCCATTGCACTCCAGCCTGGGCAACAAGAACGAAACTCCATCTCAAAAAAAAAAAAAAAAAGTCAAAATATAAAAAGTGTTGAAGGTATCATAAAGCTAAAAATAAAGCTAAATAGACAATCTAAGCCAAGACGTAGCAGAAGATGGAAAACCAGAGAGATGAGCCAAGCATTTGGAA